TCACCTCTAGTTCGATACGTCGCACAATCCTATGAGAATGCTGTAGCAGTCTTCCCCAATTCTGAGGTTCACTGCCACAGAGGTGTGAGGCAAGGAGATCCACTCTCCCGATTATTGTTCATCGTGGCAATGGACAAGGTTCTTGGATTGTCGATGCCGCAACTGGGATACCAGTTCCATGACACCTTAGTAGATGTTTTGCTTTCGCTGACGACTGGGTCGTGTGTGCAGAAAGTCAGGCTCGCCTTAAATAGAAGCTTGAAGCTGCTGCGGTCGAGTTGGGAAGAGCTAGTATGAAGATGGACGCACGAAATACGAAAGCGACAGGAAACATCGAGCGACAGCAGCCTTAGTCGAACCATTTCGTTTCGCTAAGGAACTGATCACTCCTCTGGGTCCGACAGACACCGTAACATATTTGGACATCCTCTTTACTTTCAGGGGGAAAGGAGTTTTCAACAACCGATAGAATCTGCTTACACTGTTCAATAGGTGACGCGGCAACAACAACCGATAGAATCTGCTTACACTGCTCAATGAGGTGACGCGTGACCCGTTGAAGCCGTATCAAAGAATGAAGATCACGAGGAACTACCTGATACGGAGGCTGACATATTCGCTCGCGCTTGGCCAAGTTCACCGAAACACGCCCAAGATTGGATAATTACATCAGGCAATTTATTCTTGGCTGGCTACGTCCACCAAAGGATACTCCGATCGGCTACAGCTATGCTGGTACACAACCTAGGGGACTAGGTATCCCAAGTCTGAATGCAACAATCCTGATGTGACGGAGAGCGCGTATGGAAAAGCTCCTTTCTACCCAGTGCCGGGTGCCACGCAATGTGGTCAACGATTTCGCATTTGCCAAGATTGTTCGGGATCTCAGCCTTCCGATCGGAGTCTATGGTGCATGCATAAACACCAAGGAAGAGCTGGCGGCTGCTTGGGGTGATATTCCGCACAACAGCGTTGACGGTCGCGGTCTACAAGAGTTGGTCGCTTCGCCTCTTTCTAATCAATGTCTTGTATTTCCAGAACGATTACTTCCTCGGATATTTAGCCGTGGTGTCCAGCTCCGATGCAACCTGCTCAGGATGAGAGTTAGAAGCGCTCGGCATGGTCATGGTGGCCAGACGATCTTCTGTCGTGGAAACTGTGGCCAACAGGAGAGTTTAGTGCATATTTAACAGTCCTGCTGGATCACGCACGATGCTAGATGTGCCCGACATAATTGGGATGCAAGGGAACTCGCAAAACGTCCCCGTCGCCTGGGATACACCGTCTTCGAGGAGTTGAGAGCATCTACTTCGACGTCCTTCATCAAGCCTGACATAATCGTTGTTCGGCAGCACCGAGCAACTGTGATGGACGTCCCCATAGTCTCCGATGGGCGTGAGGTGACTTTGTGGAACGAGAAGAAACAGAAGTATGGTTCTGATGGATATTCCCTCGTCATTATCTCGGCCCCACGTGCAATTGGCTGTGACGTCGACTTTTTGGTCCCCCACCGATGGTCATCTCTTATCGAGGGACCTGCTTTCCTCAATCCGCCAAGGCTGTTATCGGACTGGGAATTCCTAAGGTCACATTCAGTGACTTGTGTTAGCTTGCCATTGTGAGCTCTCTGCGTACTCACGACACTTTTATGCGTGGTACATGGCGTTAATTGTACATTCTTGCCATTGAATCTCACACCAGGCGCAGTATGACGAACACTTTGTGCCTGATCTGTGAGTCTTGACTGTGCTAGCGCTAACCGTGGCTTGAAGAGCATTCAGCACTTTGTCCTTTCTTCTGTTATTGTTTTTCAAACGCGTGTTTTCATTCTAAAAATTCTTATGTATGTTGGGATTCATCTTGTCTGACTGGAACTGTTGGTGGCATGACTTCGAATGAGACGCTTTTCTCTTTCTATCCGTTATTCTCTTTTACTTCTCCTGTAGCCCTTCTAAATTCATCGCTTGAATTTTTTTATTTATTTCTGTGACCATGCTTTTCATAAATAAAATTTAGTGTATTTGAACGCTGTGATGATAAAGGAAATATCAAAATGGGTTGGAATTGTCCATTGAAGAGCATTTCATTCAGAGCATTGCATATCCCAGGGTACCGTGGTACATTGTCGTGGCTAGGACGCTAAAGGCTCAGAACAAAACTGCCACAAACTAAATGATTACACGTGTTCGAATCCCATCTGAATATGCGATGCAGCTCTATGCGCATACTGATGTTGTGTGGCCTTGATTTTACTTTTGATGGGTGTCTACGTTGTTAAACCAGACTAATGGTGGTGGGTCCTTTTGCTCTAACAATCTAGAGAGATATAAAATAGACAGCACCGTCAAGAAAACCTCGGTTTGAAGCATCAAAACACGCTATACGGATTGTTAGCTCATCTAAGTGAACACAGGATGATACTCCGAGGAGGAGAAACACAAACTCATGGAACGAAAAATCACGGGAAACTTACAGTGTTTGCAATATCCTCGATCCTATCAGTCCCAGTGGAAGACCAATGTATCAACGGTGAACAGGTAAAACGTAGCAGATGGTCCATCAGTAGGCCACACAGGAGAGGATCAGGTTGCGAATAATTCACCGCTTCCAGTAGGTAGTTCCGTAGTTGATCTGTTGGGAGTTTGGGAGGACTCGATATACTGCCCACCGCAGCATTCCTTTCTGCCTCATCCAGAACAATTCCAAAGGTTTTGAGCAACATGTCAACGAAATTCTTTAGCAGATGGATATCACGTGTCTGATGATTGGAAATAAGGAATGGGATTCAGCTAACCAATGAGAAATTTTCTTAAATATGACTACATACATTAGGAAACCTACACAGTCGACGAAGTAAACTAAAAATTGCACGACACAGCCAGGCCAAGACGAACGATGGAACTTGGAAACGGTATATCACGGCGGTGGAACCAACCTTAGATCGGTTTCCACTGGTGAAACAGCGGTGAAAGTACCTGAGTCCATTACACAGCTTGTCTAATGTGATGAGACAAGGAAAGAGAAAGTAGAAACTCCGGCAACACTTTTGTCCATTAGGTATGAAACGTAACCTCCACTGTGCGTGTTGGGTCTGGAACTCTGAAACATCGAACAAGACGATTAACTACTACAAGTTACTTGATCAACAGCCATTTAACCAAATTATTGAGCGTCACACAGGGCTAGCCGTAAGTTAATAGAAAAGCCGTTAATATGAACCACTATGGTTTATGCCCTTGCTGTGGTCCCATTCCATATGTGGGGTAATAGTTTGACTGAGCGTTCAGACCGGTTTTATCTAGCTACATTTTTCTTAAAATGGATATTGCCCCCCATAAAGAATGATGCTTGTGACATTAACACGCCCCGAAGTCAGGATTTAATCGGTTTCATCGGGTGTATGGGATTTTCTTTGCTTCAACAACGTACTGGTGGTGTCACCTCAACTGGTGATGAAACATCTGGAACCAAATTCCCCAGCTCAGCGGACAAACCAACGACCACATAACAAAAGCGTTTGTCAGGGTTAACAGAGGGCTATCCTACACAGAAACAGAAACTCTTGCTGTTGAAAAAGCCTCAATGGCGTTTAGAGAACCAAGGTTATTCAACAGTTTATGAAGAGGTCAGGCTGTTCCTAAGAGAATAAGTGAACACGTCAGCTTGTAAAAGCAAATGAGGAATCCGCAAAGAAAAATGCATCATTCTAAACGCACTACTCAAATGGTTCGAAGTAGCAACAAATATAGCACCAACCTGACTGGAGTAGGCATGAATCAAGCCCGTGAGACACGACCGGGTCAGCTTGTCGAGTTTATGCGAAATTGATTTGTTGGCCTATATGAAAAGAGGGGAAGAAGTTGGTGTACAACAACAAAAATCACACCTGATTGAAAATTCGATAGGACATGAAATAGAGGTGGTAGTATGAAGTAATATACACCAAACACTCATTTCGGTATTGATTTACGTATTCAAACGTTGAATGAACTACTCAGGTAATCTCCCGATTGGTATGAGGACTGGAATAACCAGGACACTAGATCTAACAAGACAACGAAACTTCAAGGAGAGAGAATGAAGGTTATCCTATGAGAACGCGTTTCGCTCTGGTTAGTCGTAGCAGAGTCCATTGCTTGATGCTCCCCAGTGCTAACCGAATCAGCTAACCATGAACAAGATTAAATAAGTCTGTCTTCGTCCTGGTCAGGATAAAACGCGCTGTTTTTCCAGTAATCCAGTAGTATGACCGCCCTCCCAGTGATTTCGCATTCATGACAGCCAAAAAGCGCCGTAAGTTCCAGAGTCCTTCGTACAACTTTGATGTTCATCTGGCATACGGTAGGGTCCCGAAAGGCTTTCCTCGTAACCTCTAGTTGTATGATAAGTTCCCACAAAAGGTAATCAGACAAAGCAGTGTCGTGGCTGATATCGCACTCAATGTCGTAATAAAAACCACTAGGTTGCCGTTAAACAATTCTACCTGCATACAGGGCGCGAGATATTGATTAAATCATCCTAAATGGTTGAAATACAAGACTCTATTCAATGTTCTCAGGATATCGCATATGTACATCACATTATGCGTGGTGTAAATTGAATACATAACTGATGATTTTTGCCACGTGTGGCATGTAAGTGATCCTCATGACACGGACTAAGCCTGGAAGATATGCGAAGAGTGCTACGCGGTCCAGTGTTGTCAAGAACCTATAGAATTTCTGGATTTCGAAGATCCGGGAGGACAATCTTCAAAATTATACAATATTGAGAGAAAACGTAAAGAGCTGGAAGAAAAGTGCCAAGCAGTGTAAGAACCGACCACTTAGCCAGAAAGAACCAAACCAGTACCGAGCATAGTGTGTGTTGTCAGAAGACTAGCGTCTCCTCGACAGATCTATCTGTCTCTATATTCTTTTATATCACAGTTACTACCTATGCCAGTGTCAACCTGACTGAATCACCTGGTTGTCGATCAGGTGGCTGTGGGTTTCAACAAGCTTCACCAGTGTCTTGCAAACAAGTTCGCCACCAGTCACCATCAGATGGACACCATCAGTGCGCAGTCATGATAGGCGCGAACCGATGTCCTACCGATCGACAGCCGACAGGTGTCAAGCTTGACAAGTAGACAGCCACCTGATCCAAAACCTTAAAAATGCATCGGAGTCACCGGCATATTGCTAATTCGAAGTAGAATGTGAAAGAAAACCTGAACTTTAAGCTGTATCATTCAAAGAGAAGGGTACCGATAAGCCTGAAGCATAAACCAGACCTCTTTAATCCACATGGCTCAGCAACTATTTCGAATCCCGCTTATGTAAGATGAGTGGAAAATGGTTTTTGTTACTGCAAGGAATCTTGATTTTATGTAGGGTAAGATGCAAGATCAATGGCATATGGAGAATTCTTGATATGAGGTGTTTTGGGGTGAGGTAACTCATAGTAAATTTGGAGTACAGAACATTTAATTCGGGGTCTCCTATTCTTTGTCCGAAATAACGACAATTCAAACCCAGTTTAGCGTTGCTCATTACAAAAGATTTTGTATAAGCTAATTTTACCATAGCTTTTCCTTTGAGATAAACATACGGACTAAGAAAACTATCGAACAAAAATCAACCTGTGAATGTAGAGCTTTCTGGGGAGGGGGGTTTCAGTTCACCCAAACTCTACAGTCACGATTAATATCACCTGAGTGAAACTCAGCGTGCAGTTTGCTGGATGAAAATTTAGGCGGTTATAAAACATTCGATTGATTTCATTTAGCTAGATTTGCAGGATCTCGCAAACACACTACTGAAATGGGCCGCGCTACTGAGAGTACTCTCCATTTTTACGAAACACGGTGGAATCATGAAAAACCTCGGATTCACCTCACAGATGCGCCAGTACCCGGTGAACTACGTAGCTGCAAGCTTATTTCGATCTGAGGAGCCCAGCCCAGAAAACAAAAGCAACTGATCAGATGGGAATCCTGCTAGGTAGAGTGGCGAATAAAGGCTATCCTTTCAGTGTCACGTGAAATGTTCAGCTTACATATGAAGTTCACGGGTCGGAAGAAATCAACAGCAAAGATGAGGTGCATCCAACCAGAGCTTCTCGAATTCAGAGCAAGTAGCGAAACTGAATACCTGTGAGTCTTCGTACTTGATTCGTTTCTGGTGAAGCAAGTTAACCACGGTCGATGAAATTTATATACGACCGAATAATGAGATAAACGGCCTTGGACACATTCGTGAGTGCTGTAAACTCAGTAATAAAGAATGAATTCTTTTGTGGAGAGGAGTAGCTGCATAATGAAACGATTCTGGTCGGTTCCGTGAATGTTCTTCCTGAAGAAGGAGGCACCGAACATTATTACACGTAATTTCATTCTTAAGTTTTTAAGTAAAAACGTCGTAGCCGGTCACATGTAGAAAGCCTTTTCTCAGCACCAAACTCCCTGCAACCTGGCGGGACCGACTTAGGTGATCATTGAGGAAAGCTAGTGCTACAGAGAGGCAGATTAGAGAGTTTGGTTACGTCTCCATCGACCGTTATTGTGAAAACTCACCATCTTTTCCAATACATGTGCGATCAGAATGAGGTAGCTTGTAAGGTGGTGCAACGCAATCGATTGGCCTCGAAGCTCTCCCGGCATATCGGTGCTGCCCAAACAACCGTGCAGGCAATCTGCCAATAGGGACAAAGAATCCAACTGAGCCTGTGGCCAATCAGAATCGGCTTTCTCGCATAGCAGTGGAAGCAAATAGGGCGCGGAGAACGTGCGTGAAGCAAACAGGCATCGATGTAAACCTTCGGAAAGTGAGGCACGCGAGATATTCGGCGCAGTTTCCCCTGGAGGCTGGGAAAAGAAAATAGAGAACCACTGAACGAAAGAAACCAACAGCAAGCTGCAGTGGACGAGACATTAGTACAAGTCAAAATGGTAAGAGTTTGAATGGTCCATTTTCACAATAAAACCTTAAGTAATATCTGACAATTAACTAGTGGATTCACGGATAGTGGCCCTACTGAGTGCCGAATTCGGTGTCATAGATTGACCCTACAACCCATTTAAGCAGCTCATCTATACTTTGTAGACGAATGCGTGCAGCCAACTCCATGTTTCATAGAAATAAAAGATTTTTAAAATAACCATTCATCTGTAACACCCATTCGGTGTCCAGCTGCCGTGCCACCTGAAGGAAACATGAGGGTAAACCAAACCTAGGCGGGTGCATTCGAGATGCAGAGGTTGGCTTCGAATAATGGACCTACCGCTTAATAAGTTCTCGCTTTAACCGCTGGGCCACCACGATGAATCCCTAGGTTATATCGATTCCCAAGTTCGATGGAGAAAGTGAGGCGTTTGAACAAAAGAAGGTATTTATTCCTTTCCGGCTAGGCTGAAAGCAGCAAGATGGTGAGGTGTACGGCACACGTGTCGGTCAGAGCTGCATGCGAGGGGCAATCTGGGAAATTTTTGCAAAATGAGATTTCTAGGTTGAAGGATATAGTTCCCTGGTGTTGTGGTGATTTCCATCTAGACACTCAAAACCCGATCGCACGCTTCAACACAGGAAAACTCCTGCGCACGCCAGCCGGGAATGGGAAACACACCTGGGTCTCAATCACAGGAATAACTTCACAAGGTTAGTAAAACTTCCATCCGAGAAGTAATCACTCGAGAAACTAGTCAATCCGTGACCAGATAGTGTGGATTCCGTGATTGAAGGATAGGTGATGCTATATCCTGTCTGAGGGTGAGGTAATTACACGGTTGACTAGTTGCTCGTGGACACATGGCTAAGAGCTGGGAGGTCGCGGGTTCAAAACTCCCTGTAGTTTCGTGAAACGTATACTGACGATTTCCAATGAGGACAAAACAGCAGTAGATTGCTTCTCGGCTTATCAGCATAGATTGACTTCACTTACAGGACAGAATCTCAATTGCAATTCAAAAGTGACGAGTGTCACAACATCTTTATACATCGAACGCGTATCCAACTGGCAAAAAGGTTTTCGAGTGAGTTGCTAGAAGCAGAACTATGGAAAATATAGACATACCAGTAAATATGAAGTAATAAACCAAATTCCTATTCATACATTTTCATTGTACTGGCCTTGAACGGAATAGTCCGGTCTTGGGGTGTTCTTGTAGCGTTCTCAGTCGAAAAAAAAACAATAAGATATCCAAAATCTGAGTAGCTATCGCTGAATCGCTGACAGCAAATGCCCAGAACAAGGGCATGAGTTCAACGTCTTTTACGAAGAATGTCAAACGTAGCCGACAGTCACGTCTGTACACAGGTAAAACAGGAATATTACTTATCGGCAAACGTGAAATATACTCACCGGTGTAAAATTTATGGGGAAATAGGCAGCCATGGTCTCAAAAAAGTCTTCTTGCATTTCATCTGCAGGAAGCAATGGTAAGGAAAGCATCAGTTGATGGGAAACAGGACACTAGGACAATGAAAAACAGTAGCAGAATGATTGAGTTCAAAGCATGTACACCGAAAATTGGGGCCAAACTGAATTTCCAATATTTCTGCTCAAGTGTTCCGTACACCGATCGGATATTCGAAGTTTAGCTGCATCATGTCTGGACAGTAAAGCCACATTTCCACACGCGATCCGTCTGGTGACAGGCGTGTGTGTAACTGCACCATGCCGTTCCTGTGGAGATTGACTTCCGTTCAGTGAACACTGAGGGAACTCCCAACTTTAATAGTGTTGTCATCATGCGCTGGATGAATAGTATTGTGGAAAATGCATGGGCTATGTCTACAACAAGCACATTAAAGAAGCCGGTGCAGTAAAAGTCCCAGGAACCTAATGTATTCAATACAAAATACAGTAAGAAAGCATATTCGCGGACGAGTCTGTTGCCACTTGTGGCCTTCACACAAAAGTGAACTCTCAAGGTCATGAGTTTATGCTTGTTGGTCGTTCATTATATGCCTGCATATTACATTGCCCATGATACCTAGCTATAACGCTGAGACGCTGTTGTGGTAGGGTCAACTTTGTAATAACATTATTGGGCTCACGTGGCGACTTATGGGGGAGATGGTTACCAGTTATGAATTCCACAGCCGCCAGGCTCGACCCCACCTGCAAGCTAGGTGTGCTTGCTGCTTATCTTGCAACCACAGTACTTCGCAACAGAGAACTTCCTCCAAGACGGGTTCGGTATGGTTTCTTGAGATGCAACTTCAATTCAATTTCTTTCAAGACCGCCTCTTACATGCTAGCTGCACAAACTTCAGTCCCACTGAGTGCACGATCATGCTCTTGGTCATGCAGTCACTGAACACGCCATTTACAATCTGGGGAGACGCCTCGAAGTTGTGGAGTTCTACTTATCTTGGAAATTGTATAGGTGCCGATTGTAGTGTGACAGATGAGATCGAGGCACGGATTACCAAGTTTCGGGTCGAGTTCGCTAACTTGAGACACCTATGGCGTCAAAGCAGTATAGCCCGGTTCATATAGTTTCCAGTAACTCTAAGGTGACTGATTGGACACGAGGTGGCTTCCACTGGTTAGCCGAAACCCAGAATCGCGTCGTGGTGGCATTTTCTTGCATCTGACTGGTCTATCTAACGCCTTCATTTAACCGATTTTATTCCTCTTATATGACTGAACCGTGTGCTTCTTGTCTTGTGATGTAGTCTTCTCCCACTTGTGTCGTTGATCGGACAGTCTTCTAATTTTGTTGGTCTCCTTCCTTTGATTCTGTTGCTCAGTTCGTTGTCGTTCCGTTGGTTGGTTTCGCTACTTGATTAAGAGTCCACCCACCGTGTAACTCCTGTCAATCGGGGTGATAGACCAGACTGATGTCAATGCCGTTACTGGTTGGTTTCACTGTGGATTGCTATCCTCCTCTGTTCATGTGCGGCCACGTATTTGGGTGTTATCCCAAGCAAACTGACGCCCCCATCTCTCTTCGTAAACTGAAACAAGTGACATCGGGTTATGTGTTCTGTTGACAAGCTTGCGCCAATATATTCAGTGTGACAAAAACACCGTTTGTATCAGTCGTTACAGTGAAGCTTGCGGATGACATATGCTTTCCTCACTGCTTGCTATATCTTCTTTGGTTTCGATAGAACTCTTCTCAAATTATTACCGGGCTCGAGGACGAGGATTATTCCATGTCATCGCAAGTGCCTTGCAATCATTACGGTTATTTTTTGGCATGCTGAAGCGCAATCATTCTGTGTTCCGGTTGTGCAGTCTGGCTTTAAATTCGTAGAGATCAATATATATGAAGCGCTACAAGGAAAGGAAGAATGAACTACCTGACCCCGCACTAGCGAAGTCACCTCGATTGGTGACAAGACGTTGACAACCCAGCTGCCAGAAAAACAGACCCACAGCCATGCAGTACACCTGAGCTATCTATATTCCATAAAATCGTCGATGGAAAACTATATCACAGAAGAGGTGAGAAAGTACTGCGTGTGGTCACTGCATGCAATGATCTGTCTAAAAAGCGCTCTCCAACACATGCCATTGTGTCCCTCATACGCAGAAATTCTGTTGGATTCTAGGACTCCAAATATACTTTTTTTTATGATTCTTCGATGAATCACACCTAAACGACAGACCTATCCCCTCACACAAGTTTGTCCCTAAGAAGAAAATACTTTTGGCTAAAATTCTTGGGATTGGAGGAAAGTGGTTACCTCTGAGAAATAGCTTGCTGCGACTGTCCCCCTAAGCTGAGGCTATGTAACCAGGATAGATCTCTTGGCTACAGAAGTGTCCAACCTCTGTTAGGATTGGGAGTTGCGCTGACATTTTGAAGCCATTCAGCTAATCGCTAGATGGTTGCTTGAAATAAAAGAAACTCAGCATAGGTCTACTGGATTCGTACAGCCAGAGACTCTCCGTGGATGTAAAAACTCAGACACTGGCTGTTCAGGCTGTTGAGTAGTCCTTACCTGGGGTTGAAAGAAAAAAGAAAGCGTTCAGCTGTAGCACCCTTCTGGTGCCTAGCTTCCATGCCACCCGAAGGAAGCATGAGGGCTGGGATACTGCCAGGTTTCCCAAGCCTAGACAGCGGAAGCCGAGTGGCGGAGGTCGGATTCGAACCACGGACCTTCCGGTCAGTAAATTCGCGCTCTAACCACTCCTTACCTGGAGTTACTCAGCAATGTATGCAGTTGGGTTCAAAGCGTACGGTGATGCACTGATTAATTAGTCAAGGTTCATCAACCGAACCGCTAGGAAATCGGGAGTATTTGGTCAACATCTAAGATTTCTACACAAGTTGTTCCCAGTTCATCAGATCCCCTGCTACATTCTACTTACAATGCTGCAGTGTGCTCCATATTACTATATGGATCAGAAACCTGGCCACTGCGCCCCGAGGACCTCAAAAGTGTTTGACCATCAGTGTCTTCAGGGCATTGCCCAGATCTGGTGGGAACACCAAATAAGCAATGCTGAAATATGTCGAATGATATTCGGGAGAAATGACTCACCCTCGATTGATGAACCGATCACACTGTATAGGTTGCGCTGACTTGGTCACGTGTTGCGTATGCCAGTCGACCGACTTCCACGAAGGGCTCTTTTCGCACAACCACGTAAAGGGTGGAAGAGCCAGAGGCGGTCAAACAATGACTTGGCAGTGAAGTATGAAAGCCATTACCAGCAAACTCAACTGCGCTGGTTTTCCTGGGTGGGGACCCAGAGACGGGCCACATCAATGACTAGAGACATTGTCAAAAATGGCCCAGTAGCACCCTCGGTGGCGCTCGTGCATCCGAGCTATTGCCTTTAATGCATAGTTCCCTTTCCAATCCCTCAGTTGATAGCCCACTGACAGTGCTGGATTTATGCATCAATTTATCATCTCCCGCCTGCAATGCGCAGCTACCTACCCCACCTCCCCGAATCATCGGTGAACGAAACTGTCGCAGCTCCAACTATTGTACGACAAGTACACGGTTATTACAGCTGACAATGATGACGATGATGACCTACTTAGAAATCTGAAGCGATCCTGGGTTACACCCCCTTCTATAAAGTTGCATCTACAAAGAAAACTCATTTTTGGACTTGAAGGGTTCCTACCCACATTTTGTATGACGAAATAACACCATGTTGTGGGAAACATTTTCGAGAAGACCGTTTTACCTGTCTGGAGCGGATTACACTGGCGGACATAACATCTGTTAAGCTGAAACTGAGAGAAAAATCAACCGGTAAAGAGACTCACCTAACTCGAACTGTGCTATCACAACGAGATGCATGTCGAAGATGATGGTCAGGCACTCCGGATCCTTCTCTCCATCAACTGCCTGCACATAAGAGACGAGAAAAGACCGACCCATCGTCTTCAATCCTGATGGAAGGACGACAAATGCAAATTGATGCAAGTTGAGTTTGTTTGAATCGATCCTCTATTGAGTACCACCTTACTTGCAGAAACTAGGGTCCTACCAACATGAGCGGACAAAAAATCCACTACGGTGGATGGCAAACAGCTAGCAGAGTTGTACATTACGAATTTTGTCATGCTGAACGTTATTTCGAGATTACAATCATTTGGTGAACCCCAAAGTATGGTTGGAGCTTATCACACTGTTCACGTCATCTCCAGCAGTATCACAGTCTAATGACAGTGAAATGCAGGAAACTGAAAGAAGTTTCTCAGTGATTGTCTCACGGCTTTCCTTGTTTATTTTGACAAACCTCCTAAAAATGAGATGTAGAATTTCGGTATACACTGATTTACCGGTATCCTTAGGACCTTTTTTTAGATAGGTACACATCACTGTTTATAGGCTATATGAAAACAAAAGGAAGGCGAAATTTTCTGGTTGTCTCTAACCGATCTGAGGACAAGCCTTGTTGAGAAAACCAAAGGAGGCCTTCGCAGGTCCTACCATTCAGGGTGATACCATTCTGTCTTCTGAGAACATTCACAATAAGCATTAAGAAGGAGCGTGCTTCGGAGTTGAAGGTCTTTCACTTCAATTTCAAACCGTCCTCATGCTTCTGAAATACTCCAAAAGGATTTTTGCTTCCGACGGATCTTGCCATAAGGAGCACTCATCTGTTGACTGGAAAGAATTAAATACTGTTCTAAGAATAGGCTGGAATTCTGTGCAGTAAAGGATTGAGCTGTGTGAATGAGAGATGACGGCACCATATCAAATCTGAATACGGGCAAACCACACTGTTGATCAGCCAGTCGTGACACGACGGTGAAGAGTTCGGCGGCTAAATGGAAGAGGTGTTCGCGAGATGCGAACTGTTGACGGTTTCAAACAACCAGCTGCGAAGGGCTCATGGGGTATTCGGGTACAGAATGACGACAGGATGAAGATAAAATATCAACTGAAGTCACTAAATCTCACTACCCACAACTTATACGATCGTTTCTCAGGATTTTAGTTGGTCCACAAACTTGTAAGGAGTAGTTGAACAAAATCGACAGACAGCGTAAGAACAGCTTACGTTTGATTGGAATGCATGATATATGGCATCGAGCAGTTACCGTCACAATAGATGTGGGTCGAAGATAAAACCACTACTAGTCATACGTCCCTAGTTAAAAATAACTGCTGCGATATCCTAAGACCATTCCTATCTGATGAGCCCCAATCAGGAAGTTCATTTACGCCTATACGGGATCCCACAGTTCAGGCAAAAGTGCAAATGTCCCTAGATATGACTGTTTCCCTCTCTTTATCTTACGGAACGGCTGTCCTGCCAAACAGACTATCGTAGAAACAGCCCCACTTCGCTCACACCCCCACCTAATTGCAGCACAAAAATGGGCCCTCAATGTGGCTTATGCAGGCGTTGAAGTCATCGAGGTGCTTCAAAGCGCACGGATATGAAGTTGTGTAGAAGCTGTGGAACTTCGTATAATCTTGGATAGCAACTCAACTACACATAATGCAACCGAAAAGGCGAGCACGCTTCAATGGAGCTCCAACACGAGATAAGCGAGAGATCACGACATCGACTAATGTTCATGGTGCTTGTCTTTTTGTTCGTATTATGGGTTACTGGATTTCTGTTCAACCCCCGTCTCTTTTGCATTTGTTGTACTACTCGCAAATAGAACCTTCCAAGCTTCCTTTTAGAAACTTTGGGCGAATAAGCGGCAGTATCCACTTGTGAACTAAAAACACGTGAAAAATGCCATCCAGCACGCTTGAATCGTCCGGAAAAGCACAACAGTGTTTCAAGCCATTGCGAAGAAGCGGTTGCTCGGAAATCGGTACACTAATACATATATGGGCGTTTTACAACCCTACCGAGAAAGATTTTCGCTGGAGTGAAACAGTGCTGTGTTTATGGAAGTGTAGTCGCTTCAGCTAGCTCTCAACCCATAACGATCTGCTTATGAGGAGGGTCAAGAAAATACTCATCATGGTGGTCGAGGTCAACGGGGGCTAACTGCCTAACACTTACCTGATAAATGTGGACCGTGTAACAGGAGTTGTAACAAACGAAACACACGGAGGCGTGGGGCTTTGGTCAACGACTGGATGATCAGCTGGCCAAATAAACCATCTTGGCAAATGTGGGTTGCCTGAGTGGAGCACAATAATCGGGTACGATTCGTCCGGACAGCTCGAGCGAGCCAGAGGAACCCGTCCAAAATGGTACAGATGATGTCGGGATCGGCGAGCGCCAGACGGGATACGAGAAATTCAACAAGGCATTGAACTGGTTGAAAGGATGCAAGAAGAAAAGGCATTTCGTGCGACTGACCCAAGAAAGCCCTGCCTACATATAAAGGAAACGTATACTGTAACAACTGCGTTAGTTAAAGCCTGACTGACGATTTCCGGGTTCCGAAAAGTCTGGCAGTGTAATAAAGGCAAGATTTTCGCTAGGAGAAACTTATTTAAGGATGGCGATTGCAATATGGATCTCAAGAGCTCCTAAAACCAATAGGGTAACGTAGTCTGATCCGACGTCATTAGAGGCCAGCAGATGAAGCCGAACACTTTTTAAGCGTAGAATCTGAGAATATTGAAACTAGATACAATATTAACAAAGTGTTAGTTCTAACACATCAACTATACCCACCCAAGGAGACTCGAATGACTCAATTCAAATTATATCAATGTCACTTTAAGTCAGATCGACAATATCAACATAAAAGAATTGTGACAAACCCTCTTTATCCTGGACGTAATCAATGGGAATCGCCTGTAGTCCGTTCACGAGCGTCCTCAGTGAATCTTTCTGCGACGCGGTCTTTGTATCAACCAGACCGGACCTGCGTGTACAAAAGATTTCAAGGAAAGAATACTTTAATGACAAAGATCAACTCTTCGGGCATTCCATAGGTTATTCACGGACATTGATTAAAAGGAACGCTTTTCAAGGATAAAGGTGCTGACAGGCGTGCAATGTGTCATCTCCAAGAGCACTTGTTCCCATCGAACAGACAGTGATCGTTCGTTGAGCTTGGCAAATTTCTTGAAAACATTCCACGAACCGAACAGAGTAAAATAAATGCAATGTTGCGCAGCGATGCGTCATTGTGTGATCTGACCTACCTACGTTCTTTTTTTATAAAACATTTCGGTGCTCCAAAAAGATGTAGTTGAATCCTGAAAAGTTCAGTCACATATATATTTCTGTCTGCATTCGGATCCATCAAATTAGTGGAGAGAGATAGGACACGTGATACTCTGGTTAATACTCTTAAGCTTTAACCTTTGGACGACGAATTCGTAGTACAGCTGTTCCATTGAGGGAGTGCGTACGATAATTGCTAATGCGTTCATAACTATCAGATGACAAACGACCTCACCTTGCACAAGCATAACCAAAGGAACATTGAAATCAGACCTTGGAGACGATTCTGTACACCAAAAGTATTTTGTACTTTAATTTGTTGGTTCAGTACGACAGGGTAGTATTGGCTCGCTGTATTAGACAAGACAAAAGTATTGGACGGGCTCGTTCGCTAACAACAAGACTTTTTCAGATAAAAACAATAAAAGTTACCGGACAAAGAAATAACACACGTAGGTTGTATTATTTACTGAGTGAGAACCAGCTGTGTGTATGTTCGAGGCTTTCAAGCCAAGAAAACCACCATGTCAGTCAAGCAAAACACCGAGACGACAAGGTTGCAAGCACTTACTCAAGAGACTGCACGAGATCCAAAAGCGACGTCATCTGAAAACAGAGGAAATATACCTGAAAGACGCGTAAGTGGATCCACTGGAAAGTTAATAAAATGGTTGCCATAGCAACAGAACAGTGAAGCCAGTCAAGACAAGGAGCACTGACCATGCATATACCAAACTACTCGAAAATCTTGAAAAGGAACCCATCCAAACATAAGGCAAGCGAAGTCATAGGTAAAGTTGTCGGCAACATGACCACTTTTGATTGTAAAAAGCAACTGCTAAGCAAGAAGAATTTCAGAGTAATCTTTTAATTTAACAACAGCTTTTCCGTTATCTCTCGTCTTGAATGGAACCTAAGTTTGGATAACTCGGCCCGTAGGTCCTGTTAGTAAACGTTACAAGAGGGAAATAAACCCCAACAGGCGATAGCGTACTATGTGAGCCTTTCACTTCGGAAGTGTTTCAATAACATCCCTATGATAAGCCAACTGAATGAATGTATGACCAACAGCTGTCAGCAAAAGCCCCAGGTCACATTCTAGTCGTTTCTGGCCACTGCAGTTATACGTTGCTGAATAAATCAATAACTTGCGTGCTGAGTTAGAGTTCAATTGAAACTCCAGCTAGACGACATTCATTCTCGAATAAAGCTCTAACGATAAAACGGGACCCCAAAGAGGGAGAAGTTTGTAGTGAGCAGTCGAAGGATCCTGATAAGTCTTGCCCTGCAAAGTTCAAGGCGAAATGTGGTATACCATTCATAAATAACCACCAACTCTGAGGAAGACGATTCAAGCGACAGTAAATTCACCCCCTTGCAATCGCTGGTCGAAGAAACGACCATCCTGGAACCGTACAGAAGGAACTTGGAACTATAAGTTTGGAACCCCTAATTGACCCTCCTTTCAAACCAAGATGGAAGCATAATAATGGCACTGACATACATTATTGGATTAAGTTTATCCGTGGACAACCAGGCCGAAAAAGCCGACGCCGCTCGTACTTCTGATACACATTCCTCCTCGTTCTGACTTGCTTTTGCCTGATCGACAGACTAATGGCATGAAAATCTGCGACAGTTGTAATATCAACCGAATGTATTGAAGGTATCCAGTACGAATAGCCGTTTAAATTGCGGGACTAAATGTACGTGTCTTCCATGAGAGAATGCTGTTTAGAAGAGAACGGTCCCAGCAAATTTCAACAAAAAACAATCTTTTTGGGGAATTGCAGTCAAGAACTTCTCAGAAGAGCATCGGAAATAGGTAAATGCCAGGAAAAACTATCGCCACATCGTTCGAATAGTAACAAGCACGTGGATTCTGCCTAACAGTAACAAAGTTTCGGGCAAATCGTCTTTACCCTTCTGAGTACACCGAACACTGTATTTAAGTTTTTGCAGTATCAAGCCTCACGAAACTACAACGATCAATTCCTCGGTAAGAGTTACAGAGCCACATAGTTGTTGGTAGCAGCCATCCACTCGAGCACATCGGTTCGGCAGACCAAACGATGAGATTGCACAAAAGTACATCACAGAAGCTCTGCATGAGGAACTACTTACATTGACCACAACAGTGAATTAGCAGGTTCGCATATGTTTCACAAACGTTTCCAAACTTTATGGAATCTCAAACATACCACCCATCCTCAGGACCGTAGATAAGTGTGCACTCTATGGATACCGCTGCATTGCGTGAATTCTGCGGGCACGCAGACGAGATATAGTATGTGGAGAAAGGGTTCGTAGCCTACCTTTAAGGGGTTCTGCGATAAATTGTGGCCTATATAAGGGTAGTGTCCTCTCTTATGAGTGGTCACCATATGTCGGTCAAGAAAAAGTTGGTACACAATGTGGTCAAAATCGCTGAACACGAACAAGTAGAATTCTAGAAAAGTAGCGAATAGATAATTAAAATTCGGGAATATTCTGGAGCGAGATATAAGGTGTTTAGCGATGACAGCTAGGACAAATAAACAGGCTGTGCGAGCAGAACGTTAAGGTTAGGGAAGACAAAGGATCTCACATTGTGTCATCACGGGGGTCCCCGTCATAAAGGCGCCTGTCATCCGATAACAAGATGGAAAGGTCATGTTTAAGTGCAGTGGTAGTGCTCATCATTCCAGTACCACTATCATTCATAGTGACACGTTCAGTTCACACATTCCCTGATTCAATTCACTTCCGATCAACAATAATACGCAGACAAAATGTAACTCGGTTGGTGCTACTACAGATCAGTTATTGCGGTTTGTGTGACAAGGAGGGAGGGCTATACATTACCCCGTTACTTTAAATGGAGTTGTTCTAACGAGGATTGATCAAGGTATGTGCTGGATATGATAGATTTAATGTGCCATTACCACGGACAGTGTACCTAGGCCATATCTGGCGATGGTTGAATAGTATCTTGGAATTCCTAAGTAGAAAGATGGCAATTATTGATTGCTAATCTGGTGGCGGCTAATCCGTTCACCGGCTCAGGTAATTAGAGGAAGTTACGTGATTAGCTCATGCTTAAGAAGCGCACACATCTTAAAGTGGTTGCGAATACCAAGGCCTGGTTTGCTCATCTCTGGGGATGGACAGACTCAACGTAGGATCAACTGGAAATGGTTTGGATTCATTTTAGTACACCTAGTCCTGAAGATCTAGAAAAGCACTCTTCCGTCGCAAAGAACTTGGACCCTGTGGTGGTGTAACGGTTCGCATTATTCAGCAACCTGCTGAGCTACACTGAAGGATACCCATGAGGAATTCACGGTATCCCAGTGGATAGAGACTTGACAAATCCAATCTCCAGGCCCTCCAAGTCAGATAATGGAACAAGCGCGACAGCCTATTCCTTGAATCACTACAGCATTAAAAGGAATCTATCAGTTTGAGGTTTTGGAACATGTACCATGCAGGCCTAAATAGCGGGATACGTTATGTTACCCTTAGGCTAGTAACGACAAATGTCCTGAGAATCACGTGCTAATCGACAAGACCTGTACAGCTAACCTGTTCGATATATACTCGGTTCAAAATAGTCGCTGAATTGGTAAACAATCAATTGCTTACCGAGCCCTTCTGAAACGGTGACTTCTCAAGGGATGCACATTTGAAAATCACAGTTAAAATCGCTTGGACAGTAGATGAAGCTTAGCAGGTTAAGGTGACCGAGAAAGGTGCTACGGCTGCCTAAACACCGCCTACCAAAGAAGACCATTTTTCCTTCCAAAGCTGGCGAAAGTCAGACCAAGGCGAGGCAACCATCAGCGAAAACGGACATAGTCATAGTGAGTGCTACGAAATCTTCACGCGTTTTTGACTGGTAATGATATGATTCTCCTCACATGATTGAAAGCCCTACCAGTGACTGACCCCGGGAGGGAGGGAGCATAACACTCCCTAGCCAAACTGCGCAGCTAATGCCCGTCGCTCGTTGGGTTTGTATTGCCTAATGCTCGCAAGTGGACAAACCCTACTGATAGGCTCTTATTCTGTTTGAAAAAAGACACATTGAAGGAACACTGATCATAAGGTTGCTGAAAACTCCTCGACAGCCCCCGGCCAGTTTCGATCTTTAGAAAGCAGAAAACAAGTGTATCCGCTCACGCTAAAACCAGTGACATGGACAGTGCTTACAAACAGGCCTGCACCAAAGCATAAGAAAAGAACGCCTCCAAGAGAGCAAATTAGGTTTATTTTGTTAAAGTACGTCTTTGGGGTACGTACGGTAGTGACAGGGAGATGTAACGCAGCTATCGACGTATTGTCAGCATTCAAGCGACAATGTTAAAAAGCCACATCTATTGTCTGAGAAATATTCACGTGTCTGTGAAGTTAACGGGAGTAATTTACTACATCCAGCGTCAAGCAGCAAGAGTTCACTTTGCTGAAATGCTGCGCGATAGTTCTGAGCACGTTGACGTTTCGTGACGGCAGGCAAACACACTGAGTCGACGGTCGAAGAAGATACCGGATCTGACACTATTCGACAAATTTGGTGTTCCCTTTCTCTGTAGTTGGTTGTTTGACGGTGAGATTTGTTTGGCCCCAATCGACCAAACAATGGGACGTGTCTTATTATTGGCTGTGACTTGTCTGAGCCTGGACTGCTATCCAATATTCCAGTGTATTCGCTGTGTACCTCATCAAAAACTGGATGGTGTATTCGTAGCTAAAAGGAAACGCAGGTACAATCGCCAGATTAGTGAACACAGAACAAAAGGGTGAATAAATGACAGCAGTAGTGTATTACTGAAAATAAGCAGGAATATCAGCAATGCTTCACTAGTACACTACAGTTGTGCAGCGTGATTTGAAGAAAGCAAGGTTATGGAATGACGAAAAACTGGGAGGAAAAAGGTCTCTTGTGCTACCATTCCACGGTTTAACTATATATATATATATATATATATATATATAT